TTCAGTCGAAAGAATTGTCAAAAACTGTTTTGAAACGCTTTTACAAAGCTCCAATCTTCTCTAGTGAGAGCGAGTATTGTCGGCAACCAGTTTTTCTTCGGCAACCGTTCCATTTGAACTGCATGTAAATCTGCTGTTCTATTATCGGCAACTCGAAATCAGCTACAATTTGTAGTGCGTGTGTTTCATTTCAAGAAAACCCTGCTAGATTGCTTTTTCTCAGTGGTAAAAATATAGTCAAATTGAAGCTGAAAGCATAAAGAATTGTTTGCATGCATTCAGCGAAGTGTTTTCGTAAGAAAATCCAGTGAAAATAGTGTTTCAATTTGTGTTGCCGAAAATAGTCTGTCATGCCGAAGCCGTCATTTCCCCTACTTATTTTACTGTTGAGCTTTGTTTCAATTTAGTTATTTTACCGCATGTATCAATCATTTCAAGATTTCGCGACCGTACCGAACAAATTCTATACTACAGAAGCTCAAAAAAAAACTTTTGGTGAGCTCTACTGCATTGCGAATCACTTCTGCGTATGCTCCGTAGACGTAGGCGCGTTGATTCCGACAGCCGCAAAAAGTTAAACATGCATCAATACCACATAAGGAAAGATCGATTTTATGTAAATAGGGTTTAGTTCATAGATTAACATTGACTCAAATGCTAGATTAACATTAACTCAAATGCTTTAACCGCATATATAAGAGATTTTGCGTATTAAGAAAATAATATAGTAATCGAGTACAACAAACTCAGGGGAATACAATACCTCCAAAAGTTTAAAAGCTATTAATTGTCACATAACTCTACTTTTACTTATTTCCTAAACTATTCCTCTCCTTGTTAATCTGCTAAATGCTATTGGTCTGCCTGCGTTTTCTTTTTAAAGTTCAAGACTAAATAAGAAGATTTATTCTACAACTTTAAAGGTTAGTTGCCTCCCTAAGCGGACCCCCCCGCATCCTAATTCTTCTGTTAATCTACTTATTCTTATTTCTTATTTAAGTTCATTTGATGATTATGATATCTCATTAGACTAATTTAATAAATTATTAAAAGCTCTAATTCACCTAATCAATCATAACCCATGCTTTATTAAGTACCTGCACTTGTGCTTGTAATCTAAAATTAAACGTGTTTCAAGTACTTTTGATTTTGACCTATACCTATTTATTATATCTTAGTTCGACCCAGGTAGCACCTTCATGTGACTAAAATGCTTCATTTTGAAGTTAGTTTCCTAGCTGATTTTTAAATTATATAGGGTATATGCTCCAATTACGCTCTCACGTTTCCACTATGTCGCACCACAAAAATACATATGGGTATGTCACAATAGAAGCACACCACAGTGGAAATCTCGAGCCATAGTTCAAACACTTATCCCAAATCAAAATGAAGCACATATAAGATTAGTTACAATACCATGTACAAAAATGATGTTTAACATTGTTTCCTGAGTAATACTTCAATGAAAACAACAATGAAAGCTTGTCACGTAAATAGAAGGAGCACCGTTGGGCACTTTCTGAAATATTTCAATAGTATAATTCCCTTGCAAACCCAAATAAATCTATCTGCGTAAAAATAAATAAAATAAGAGTGATTTGCGGCAAAACCCGCCAGTATCACACCCAACGTCAGTGCCTATACGTTTAAAGGAGTAACAAGTGTGATACTATCACTGCTAGACTGGATCTTTGGTTCTCTCATGCAGTGGTTTATCAGAGAGGGGAAGCTTAGCAATCCCCAGTGCCTGCCCATGACGCCATTCTATCGCGGCATGAGCCAGCAACGCCGGCCATAAACCTACCGTCTCCAACACTCCACTATAGAGCATGAAATTAAGCCCGCCCACCAACAGCAAGGTGCAAAAACTAGCCAAGGGGAGGGAATTTGATTCATCTGAGATGCACGAAAACTTAAACTTAATTGTTATGATACATATCTTAGTGTTTTAACATTGTTCCTGCCTTGGCAATTCAGTATTTAAAACAGGTTTTTTAAAGCTGCATGTCAGTATAACAATTGAAATCTTAAAACTAAAAACTAAAACTTATCTAAGTATAAAGGGAACTAATCGTTGCAATGGAGGATTGCAACGATTTTTGCCTGAAATAATTAATTATGTTGTTGGACATTTGTTCTAAAGCCTAAACATTCAAAATTCTATGTACCTCGGTAGTACTGATGGTTGTTTCCTCAATTTTTGCAATCAAGTACCACCATGTAAGTTACGATAAATGATTTTTCACAGATGGATCAACCATAAATGCTTCCACTGGATTTGGTGTATTTAATCAATGTCATAGCGCCTCCTATAAACTGCAGAAACCATGCTCCGTATACGTTGCGGAACTCGCAGCTATATTTTACGCAGTAGAGCGAATTGCCTCACTACCTTCTGACCATTATTTCATTTTTACGGATATTCGTTCAATGAGGCCCATGAAGTACTCCTCGTATTTCCTGCCTGAAATACGATCTAAACTGAGTGCTTCATCTAACTGCTCCTATACTATCACCTTAGCTTGGGTCCCATCGCATTGCTCAATTCCGGGTAATGAGAAAGCGGACTCATTGGCTAAGATGGGCGCTATGAAAGGCGATATTTTTGAGCGACAAATCGCCTTCAACGAATTTTTCTCCATTGCTCGTCAGCAAGTCCTCATCAGTTGGCAACAAAAATGGAATAATGGTGAATTGGGAAGATGGTTACATTCTATTCTCCCACAGGTGTCGAACAAACCATGGTTCAAAGGGTTGGACACCGCGACTTTATACGCGTTATATCAAGGCTTATATGTCCAATCACTGCTCGTTAGACTCGCGCTTCTATCGAATTGGGCTCTCAGGCAGCAATGTATGTGCGGGTGGCAGTGGTTATCACGATATCGAGCATGTTGCTTGGTCATGTACCTTACACCGTGTTGTCAGATCTGAGTTATCCACATCCCTCAGGGCCCGAGGAAAACAACCCGCTATACCCGGTAGAGATGTCTTGGCGAGCCGAGACCTCGACTATTTGAATTTAATTTATGTGTTTTTAAAACGGATAGATTTGAGGATTTAGCAATTAGTGTCATCTTGTGTTCTTCCAAGTTGTTAGCTGCCCATCGGTGTACCCCCATGTTTGTCTTTTTCATCAGAGTGTCGCTTAGCTCGAGATCAAGAGCACCTTGCTCTCCAAACCTTGTGTTCACAATCCCTACCCTGCCATCAATTTGTTACAATTTGTTACCCCTAACCTCGAGATAGCCGAGAGTAATCGGCCCCCGCTTTACTAACGTTAGTTCTAAGTAATTTTGTAATCTAAACAATGAATATCGGCTCCGCAAAGCTATAGCAAATGAGCCTGAAAAAGAAACGCATTATATATAAAAAAGTAATCATGTAAAATGATAATCTCTATAAGTTACTGGTTTTATTACTTAACAGTAATAAATTTATTTAAGTTTTCGAGACAATGAAAATTTATTTTCTTTATGACCCCCTGACTTTCCCATGTCAAAAATCTCACAATATTTAAATGATATATTGAGCACATATGCTCAAGTATCACTATGAATAAAAATAAAACTTAGAATGGAAGGGGGGTTTAATTTCTTCTTCTTAAAAAAAACCTTGAACCCACCACGAGCCATTTCCGAAAAACGATCGACTTATACAAATAATGTAAGGTACGGTGGGGTAAGTGAAAACTGGTGGGGCAAGTAAACCACAATAGCAACAGAAAATGGTTTGCATTGCTAGTTCCTCAAGAAGCCGTTACAAACCAATCGTAGTTAAAAAAAAAACAAGAATCTTGTTTATTATATTTCAGTGGTTTGACAGCATTTACCCACTTGCCCCATAATTTACACTGTACCTTATGGAAACAGTCTTTCAAAAGATTTGTTCTAGCGTCTAATAGGGTTAACTACCCCATTTCCGGCCTATTAAGCACAACCCGCACTTAGTCTTTCTTAATCTAGCGCAGCTTAGAACCAAACAGAATGTTGTTATTACTGATGGCTTCTAAATTTATTTACCTTTCCGTACGTACCCTAAGGTTTGATAAAGAGAAACCAATCGTTGGGATGTTGTCAAAAGTATAACACTGTTTCTTGACGCCAAACTCGGCCTACGGATTCTAAACTCGGCCTAGCGCATTGAAACGCCATTGAAATGCCAATGAATTCACTTCGGCCTATCGGATGAAGATAAAAATTGATTCGGTCGGAGTGCTTCTTTTGTTTTTGGGAATAATGTGTGCAAACCTTCATATCACGTGTTCTCATTGACTTCGTTTGGTATCTTATTAACTAAAGTATAGTACCATATGCATAATTTATATATTAACTCTGAAATCATGGATTTATTTGAAGTTTCCTGCTCGATAGGCCTAAAATGGGCGATTAGGCCGAAGTAGTTCTCTACCCTATTGATTGAAAATCTGCATGGCGAGCAGGGTTGGCGTTGACGGCACCGTCGAAAAATTTGCTCTTCCAGCAAATTTAGACAGTTTCTTATGGGAATTTTCGGTGGAGTGAAAGTATAGTACATAGTCCGCCATGTTTCACGCACAGTCTGACTTGCTTATGGATTTTCTCATAGGAGTAAAGAGCTACAGAGTCGCCGTCAACGCCAATGAAATTAACGTCTTGGAATGAAGAACCCTGGTGGCGAATGACATAAAAATACATTGAAAACTGTTTTACCCACACTACCTAGTTGTATATAGTAGTTATAAGTAGTCTCCTTTTTCAAATATAAAACAAACCAATCCCACCGAGGTGGCCATTCTTAAAACAGGCATGATAGGACTAGGAACTGTAATTAATAATAATTGGAATTTCAAAGGAACTAAAGTTGAAAAGACGCGTCTGTGTCACTTAATAAGTAATACATGTAAGCCACACAAATTCAAGAAATATAGATCATTTAAAGTAAAAAAAAAGTCATGTTTTGCCCACACCTGGAAACGCCTACGGGTATAAAAACTAAGAGCATTTCACAGTACTCACCACCAAGTTTAAACATTCTTTGAGTTTATCCGCAAGCTGATGGTACACTCTGGCATCCTTTGGAAAAACCATGTGCACGTCCTCTGCCAGACATAGCCGACAATAAGCTCTGAAGAAATAAGAAACTTTGTTTTGACTAATATTCATTCCTTTCGTTGGTATTCTACTCACGGTAAGAATAAATCCTTGGGGATAATTTGTGGCCCCATTATTGGTACGCTTGGTACTTGCAGTCTTTGAGGAGTAATGGTATTCATCGCCATGGCGGTTGAAACTGAAACGGTTAAAATTTAAAGTTATAATTTTTATTTAATCCAACACAAAATAACTAAAACATTCAACATAAAATTTATCTTATGCGTTTTTGCAGTGTAACTACACCGCCGTACACCGAAATAATTTAGGGTGGATATGAGATGCACCTTTGTTTACAAACAATTAATGTTAATTAATGTCAATAACTACGCTTATTCCTGCTTCACTAAAGCCCTACAGAAAAAGTATGGACGTCTGGCAAAAGTTGTTCCTATCGAACCGTCAAAATCTACCGCTTTGCTCGATAGGAACCGAGATTGGAACAGTTTTTTTCAGTTTTGTGGTGGCAGTCGTCCATACTTTTACTAGAGGGCTTTAGATTACACTACACCGGTTTTACATTGCAAAAACGAAAACGACAATAGTTTTCTGTTCTGCCGAAAGGTGTCACGCTGTGCCGCTGATAAAACTTTGACATATGTCAGTTTCAATCGTCAACATATGTGACATATGTTCAAGGTATGCATACAGTTTTCAACAAAGGTGGGAACTGTCATGTTGGAGTAATTAGCTTGTAAACCAAATGTGGGATGGGAAATGCATGCTAAAATATGTTTGACACGCATGATACCTTGATTAAATACAATTATCATTGTTTATAATAAAAAAAATTGTTTGGTTGAAAATTAACTATCCTTTACCTGTAGGTTCAATGGAATCGGTAGAGGTTGAAACCAAAGATACCGCTTTCTTCGTCTTCAATTTTAAGGTAGGGACCCAATTCGGGCTGCTGACTTCAACTGGGTGTGATGGTTTTCCTAGATGAAGAAAAAAAAAAACAAACATAAATACAGAAAAAAAACAAATCCAATCTAGTACCTCATTACCTTTTTCGAAATGTTGCCCACAAATGATGGCTTTATTAACGATTGCATTGTTGTTTGGCAAACCGGCTGCTTCGATCCACAGTTGCCGTCGCAGCGCACCGCGGGATGTCTGGGATATTGGGAACCGATGGAAGCTAACGCTAACTTGACCGTATTTTGCATCGCACCCTTCGATGCAACATTCCATCTGCATCGCTGGGACACACTTTTTACCTACTGATCTGGGGAACTCAGAAGGGTTTGCGTTCGTAACGCCAGTTGCAAACATCTTAATTTGTTTTAGCGCACGAACAGAGACGGCGTAGATAGAGGATTTATAACACTTGTTTGATGACGCACCGCGGCTGCTATGATTGATTTTTGTTTGCGCGACGCTTTTAATTTGACAGTGACGCGGGTTGTCACATCTGACAAGGTTAAAGTGACAGATCAAGATTGCTATAAAAATGATCAAAGATAAGATGTTCTTAGAGAAAGGTGTGAAAAAGGAAACTCGTGCATATATATTAATTAGTAATCCTACAGAGATTTTCGGAAATATTTCTCGATAACTTTTTCAAAGGGACTTATCAGCTTTTGTAAACAATGCATTTGATCGTCGATTCGGCGTAACTGGTAGCTCGCCTACGCATGCTAATGCTACCATTAGATAGGGAAAATTTTCTCCTACCTACTAGTGGTCTTAGTAAGCGTGTGGGAGCTACCAGTTACGCAAAATCGGCGATCAAATGCATTGTTTACAAAAGCTGATACGTCCCTTTGAAAAAGTAATCGAGATTTGCAATGTGAATTGTTTTGTTTACAAAAGTTGCCAACACTTGCCGCGTAGCAAAATGTTCCAGCTTTGTACGTGACTTTATCGTTGTCTACGCTACGAGTTCGGTTGTTTACGTTGTTTGAATTCTCAGTGAATTGGTGAACTAATTTTGCCATAACCGCCGTCGTGGAAGTATAACAATGTAAGTTTTGTTTCGGGTTTCCGAAAACCCTGAGCTTCGCAAAAAATGACTGGAGTTTTGCGGACTACCGTCAGCTTTTTCCCTTAATAAAAATTCAATGCTAGTTTTTATATTTTCACACATGAATTTTCGCAATGTGATAAACAAATGATATATATGTGTCGGACACTTAGTTCTTACATAGAGGTAACTCTAAGACTAGAAGGTCCCGAAATAACGTGCTCAACTTTTTGGCTCAGCTCTGTTACTCTCTTCGGTCCCAAGCTAATCGATTCACCCCTCGAAACCTCGCTCGAAACATAGGAAAAACCAATAACCCCTCATTTTATCTGTCAAACTTTCATAGCGAATCAAAACAAACATTGCGTAGTACTAGAAGTTCGACTAGAATGGGGTACGTTAATCGTTTGCTTGGGACCAATAGGCTAGTCAAGTAGTGAGCCAATTTAAAATCGTTAGTTTCGTATTGATTGTTGGTTCTTATGTGTACACATAAAATGTATGTGTAACCACACATACTATTCATTTGACCCATAAATTTAATGTGTACTTCTGAGTGGATTCTGTTCATGTGTGGACACAACATGTGGAATTTTACATGGAAATTCGCCAATAAAAATGTGCCGAATTTTAAAAGTGTAGTGCACTCAAAATAATCGACACGTTGTTGTTACGTGAAAAATCACGTAGGGTATCTCATTTTCCTTTGCTGTCAATTTTACGTGGCCCAAGTAAACTCTACATGATACCATTTATATGTGAACCGAAACTCCTTTCGAAATCGTCAGATTTTTTAATGACGTTTACGTGAATTACACATACACAGATTCTACGTTTGTTTCACGTAAACCCTAAGTGATTTTCACGTCTGAAAAAATAAATGAGTGATTCACTCATATTGCTATACAATATGGCGCTAGTTCATTGTGCATGTTTACATGCCATTGAAATCCAGATTGGTTTGGTCTTTACTGAGACAATTTCGAGTTGTAAGTATAATTAATTAAAATTTTACAAAGAGATTAATTTAGTTTGTTCCTTTTTAGTATGACGACAAGGACCATCATGTATGAACTTCAAATCGAGCTTCAAGTCAAGTGGAAGTTATAAGCCGTTGCATTTTTGTTAGTGTTCGTTTCTCTGTCGAATTTTATTTCATTATATGTTTAATGCCAATGTGTTTTTTGTCTATTTATATAAGTCTATTCAGAAATAAAGAATACATTTTATTTAAATTGAATTGGAATTAAATAATCAGTTGGAATCATCATGCATTTTATCGGAAGAATCACGTAACTTCTACGTGATAATCCAGTGACAATGAATCTCACTGAATTGAGTGCCTCCATATGAGAATCACGTAAGTCTTACGTGAAAAATGCGATGGAAAAAATCTATGTGTGTTTTCACGTAGCATTGACGTGAGGATTATTTTGAGTGTGGATTCTATTCGTTTGTGCAGTGTATGTTACAATGATAATTATTTTGTGGTATTTAGTTAAAATTTAATGTACCACTTCAAGCATACACAATTGTTTTGCTAAATAATTAAGATATATTGCTGTAAAAAAACAGAAATATTGCGTACAGTTTTATCGTTTTATTGCGCACTTCCCACCAAACTGGACAAATAAGCGCGTTTTCACTTATTAAAAAGTGTGATAATGCGAGTTCTCTTCTAATCGTCTTGGTGTTTTCGGTGCACTCATTCCTCATGGTACAAGCAATAGGACTTTTTAATGTACCACCAACATAGAGTGCGCCACGCTAGTTCGAGAGAAGACGTAAGCCAAACCGTTTGTTTACATCAGAATAAGGATTGTTCGCAAAGGAAATTAAAGCAATTTTCATTGAACATCTTCCCGCATAATCAAAAACTATTAGCAATTATCGCTCACACAGCATATAATTGAGTCATTTTTCCATAGAAAATGTACTCTCATGGTGGTAAGCTCCAACCGGTATTATCCTCGGATTAAATCCCGATCAAGAATGTCCGGCTGGTTTGATGTCGACATCAGAGTTAATCAACATAATTCTGAGCAAACATTTTTCAGATCATACAAACAGGGACGGTATTAAAAGTTAATCCGAGTTGGAGCTTACCGCCATCAGTCATTCAAAACAAATATTGGGCAGCATCACGGCAGAATAAACTTAGGTAAACATTTCAAAAGGTCCTATCTGCATTGATCGATTCTCTTAATCGACTTCCTCTTTCGTTAATAACTCATTTTCATTTTCATTTTCATTTTCAAGCACAGAAGGGGGTCATAGGGCCAAGTCACCAGCGAAAAATCGCTGTCCATACTGCACCAGGGTAGAGGTATAGATTTGGCATCACAGAATAATAACCACAGGGGTCAAATGAATCCTGTTTACGATACCGGATAGTAAGGAAAGCTGTTGAACATAGGGGATAGTCAGAGTAACAGCAATAATAGTGAAAGTTAGGAAAATAAACAGGTAGAGATGGTTGATTTGCAATGGCTATCGACTCTGTTATATACCGTATCAGATTCAAATTTAATGTCGTTTAATATTGCGCTTATTACTTTTATCTTTATTCTAAGCAATCTCCTTTCATACTTGTTTGTTTTAAAGTGAACTGGATGAAATGATTGTTTTATCAAAATTATGTTAAAGTTAACTATGCTTTCAATTGTCAACAGTTTAGTTTCAACTGAATTAGTTGGCGACTCAATTTGATGTTATTTTCCATTTTTAATTAGTTGGAAGTATATTAACTTACGTAATCGATTCGTTGAGTGATTGATGATTTACTTACATTTTATACGAATTATGTAGTTTTACGTAAGTACCTGCACTTGAATGTAATCTGAAATTTAACGTGTTTCAAGTTATTTTTTAATTTGACCTATACACTGGAGTCGCTTTTTACCGAGGGGGACGACTCTATCTACGATGCAGAAAAAATTGTGTTATGCTGTGGCTAGCTGCACGCACGCTGAGTAGATAGAAAGAAGATTGTTGACGATTCTGAAGATTTCCTGCAAGAAGATGATGCGCGATGCAAGTAGATGCGACAAATGAAAGAAGATTTTTCGAAGATTGATTCGCTAGAGTGAGATTTGTTGAGCATCTAAACTCGAGATTTAGATGTGTCGCCCCCCTCGCTTTTTACGCGGTTTTTTTACACGGTTTTTTTACGCGGTTTTTTTTACGCGGATTTCGGAATTGACGCGGTTTTTTTTACGCAGATTCCGGAATTTACGCGGTTTTTTTACGCGGATTTTGGTTTTTTTTTACGCGGATATCAGAATTTACGCGGTTTATCATTATACACTAGAGTCGCTTTTTACGCGGTTTTTTTACACGGTCTTTTTTTACGCGGTTTTTTTACGCGGATTTCGGAATTTACGAGGTTTTTTTTTACGCGGATTCCGGAATTTACGCGGTTTTTTTACGCGGTTTTTTTTTTACGCGGGACGTATCATCCGCGTAAAGAGCGACTCCAGTGTATTTAATATATATTAGTTCGTCCCAGGTGACACCTTCAAGTGACTAAAATGCTTCATTTTGAAGTTAGTTTCCTAGCTGATTTTAAATTATATAGGGTATATGCTCCAACTACGCTCACACGTTTCCACTATGTCGTCCCACAAAATTACGTATGGTTATTTCACAATAGAAGCGCACCACAGTGGAAATCTCGAGCCATAGTTCAAACATTTCTCCCAAATCAAAATGAAGCACATATAAGATTAGTTGCAATACCATGTACAAAAATGGTGTTTAACATTGTTCCCTGAGTAATACCTCAATGAAAACAACAACGAAAGCTTGTCACGCAAGTAGAAGGAGCACTGATGGGTACTTTCTGAAATATTTCAATAGTATAATTCCCTTGCAAACCCAAATAATTTATCTGCGTAAAAAAATAAGAGTGATTTGCGGCAAAACCCGCCAGTATCGCACCCAACGTCAGTGCCTATACGTAAGCGTACTACAACGCGGCTTTCAAATAAAGGAGTAACAAGTGTGATACTATCACTTCAGGCTAGAACTTTGGTTCTCTTATGCAATGGTTCATCAGAGAGGGGAAGCTCAGTAATCCTCATCGCATGCTCATGACGCTATTCTGTCACGGCATGAGCCAACGATGCCGGACCTAAGCCAACCGTCTCCAACGCTTCACTATGAAGCATAAGATTAGGCCCGCCCACCAACGTCCAGGTTAAAAAACTAGCCAAGGGGAGGGTCTTCCTCTTTCGTTAATAACTCAGATCCAAAACCTTTCCCTGTTGTATTTGACGTTTTGGACGATAGATAAGAACCTCCTTTATCAAACTATGTGGTAGAATTCGCGCGAAATCTGTTTGCATAGCAGTGGTTATGAAAAGAGAAAGTCGATGAAGAGAATCGATCA